GCTCGGAATTTATTTATTTATTTTTTTTTAAAGAGCAAAAATAAAAAATAAAAAGAATATCACACTAAATAAATATAATTGACCGGAGTGCAATTAATGTTTAGTCAGAGCAATATAAAGTTACAGCAGTAAGTTACATTTTAGATTAAATCATTAAAAATTTTCATGTATAATTGCATGCATATTTGTACTTTAGTGTACAAAGCCAAATCTGGTATGATATTCATTTTTCTAAAATTTAACGAAGCCATAATATTGTAAATCCTTTTTGCTGGCAATATATAATTTGATATTTCATTTCTCGAAATTTCATTAATAGATTACAGTTTTCTCTATAATTTATTTCAATTATCACTTATCCAAATATAAAAAAAACGCATTTTGAAAAACTTCTATCAGTGCAATAGATGCCAGAGTTATGTCTTGTCAGAAAATATAGTTATCAGATTATGAAGTCAGGGAGATAATTCTTCAAAAAAGTGGGTATTAAGAGATTGAGCAACAATGCCGTATAAATGTATATTTTTTAAATTTTGTATATGGTCTCGAAGTAAAGATTTTCTGTAATGTAAATAAAAATAATATTTAAATTAATAATGAATAATGTATTTGTAATAAATTGACAAATTATTAATAATGAATTTGTAATAAATTGACCAATAATTAATAATAGTCATTTAGAAATATAGCTTAAAAATCACGATTAACTTGATGTAGTTGCTGTATGAATAGTGAACTCTATTTTTTATATCAAGCAGAAAATCATCTTATTATAAAATTATCGCCTGTCACGAGTGTCACTTACATTTTTACCAATCATTTTGCACGTGTGAAAATGATATGATATAAATGGTTATTATCATATGTCATGAGAAATTTGAATATTGAATACAGTATCAATCAATTTCAATTCAATTCAAAACATTATAAAATTACCCCCGCTGTCACGGCTGTCCTGTCCGTACCAAAGCATTTATAAGTGCATGACTCATGATTTCAAACAGGTTCTGCCAAATTTTGATGTTCACTAGCCTTTTTAGTAATGATTTTTATTTATCCGATTATAGCATATTTCATGATTATGTGAAATACTATCGATATAGTGTGGGAAGTTTATTGAATACAGTATATCAAAATCTTAAAATATAATAATTGCTAGCCATTACGTGTGTCCGTTCTTGATTATTTTGAGATCTATATTCTTAAATTATGTCGAATTACAGCGATAGTATGAACTGTTGCAGATCACATGACATGGGAATTCCGGATTTCTCAAGATAAATTAGATGATCTTTTTTTAAAAAGTTGTAATTATTGCGACATTTGATCGTTGCGTAATTAATGTCGTAACAGGATCGTAATCGATCTGTGAATTAATAATCAATAAGTGAAAATTGAAACGTGGAAACAGTTATTCTTATTCACATTCTCAGTTGTCATCTATGATTTTCAAGAAGTGACTTTCGTTCATTATACACACTTTGTAGATATTAGATTAACTGAGATATGGATAATGTTAGTAGCATGCTTTGATGAGTCACATACTGTGTATCATCAGAATAGTAAGGTTTGTAGCAGAATTTTTTAGTTTATAATATCTGCCTGCTATGTTTGTAGGCAGAAAACAGCACCTGCATAATTTAGGGTATTGCATACATAACCGCTGTAAATAAATAAAAAAATAACAGTAACAGCAAATTGTAATACGTTTCCATTTTTTAATCAAAAATGTCCAACGAAAATTTGACCAGATCAATCGATGGCTTCAACAAACTGAATTTCTCTGATTGTCAAAAATTGGCAGATACGGACGATTCAGATGGAAGTTTCCGGCTCGGTTATTGTTACGAATATGGAATTGAGTTGAAAAGGATGAAAACGAAGCATTCATGCGTTATCAAAAATCGGCATACGTGAATAATTCTAACGGAATGTATCAAGTTGGTTATTGTTATAATGCGTTTACATATTATCTGAAATCTGCTAAGGCTGGTAATTCTATGGGAATTTGGAAAACTGCTGTTTGTTACCTTTATAGAATTGGCGTTGAGAAGGATGAAGATAAATTTTGGGAATGATATAAAAAGTGAGTTAATTTTTAATTTTTTTTATTATAATATTTTGTAATTTCTTTATTTGAAATTGAGATCTCTTATACAACTTTTATTTATTAGGGAGTAATTATAAAGCACATTCATTTAAGTTCATAAATATTTATTTATTGTTGGTTATTTTAGCCCGTGAGTATAAAGAACATTTATTAATCAATGAAATTAAAAACAGCAAAACAAGTTCATTTCATTCACATTAATTTAGTCGGCAAGTATAAAATTATTTATTTATATTCGATATAAAGTTTAAATTGCAGATGCGAAATAAAACATTATACATTATATAGACAAGCCAAATATGGAAAATGTGCACATTGCAATGAAGATAACACTTCTGAAGCCTACCAAGCGACGTTGACATAACAACAAGGTGGACAATTGGAAATAAAGATATGAAGATTGCATGAAGGAATTCCAACTTAGAGCCTGGAGTTATGAAAATGCGATTGAATGGATTCCATTTGATAAATTATCTGATATTAAAGAAATTGGTAAAGGTGGATCTGGTTCTGTATATTCAACAACCTAGTTGGATGGCATACGAAAAGTTGATGAAAACTACATTTACAAAAGAGCACATGAACCATCCAGCATCGTTGCACTCAAGACGTTGACTTGTTCGAAGGAAAACAATTTTAATTTTTTAAAAGAAGTAAATTTATTATTGCTTTGATGATTCATTAATTTTATTAATAATAGTTTACTGAACTAATTCATTGTTTAAACCTTAAGTTTAAAAGTCTTATGAAATGTGCATTAATTTATACGATGCTCGCAATATATGGAATAACTCAGAACACAAAAACAAACGAATATTTGATGGTATTTCAGTATGCTAATTAATGATGAGGGTCTTCATAAATATTTAAAAAAATTTTTAATACACTTACATTACAGACCAAATTGCAGGTACTTAAAGATATTTCAGTTAAGCTAGATAACGTTCACAGATGTGCATACATTCATGCTGATTTTCATAGTGGAAATATTTTGCAAGACCAACAACCTTATATCACAGATCTAAGATTGTCTAAAAAGGAAGATGATAACGCTTCAGAAAGCGAAACTTATGGTGTCATGCCCTATGTTCCTCCTGAAGTCTTAGCAGGAAAACAGCAATTTACACAAGCAGCAGATATTTATGGGTTTGGTATTATAGCAAAAATGTCAAACAAATAAAGACCTTTTGATGGTTATAAATTCAACCTAAAACTTGCAGTCAAAATTTGCAAAGGATTGCGACCAGAGTTTGCACCTGGATCTCCTATTGAATTGGCTGAGAAATGCATATATTCTGATCCACATGAACATCCTGATGCCTGGGATGTTCATAAAACAATAGATAATTGGTTTAATAAGATGCCTAATAATTAATTACAACAATCCTCAAAAATTTTACTAAAAAAAATCACAACACAAAAACGAATAATAAACTTTAGCAATCAAAGCTTTAAGATTACAACAAACTAGCTAAACAATTTTCCGTCAATTAAAAATTTATCTTTGACGTACATACATACATACATACATACACATATATATATTTATTTAAACGCGAATTGGCGTGCTTTATTTAAATCTATACATACATATAAATTTTAATACACTCTTAAATATAAAATCCTAAAAGATTCAAACGCGATTAGTAAAATACGTACAAAACAACCTAATAATCCCAAATAATTATTAACATTCAGGCTATCTATGCCTAATTAATTAATCACATAAGCGAAAAAAAAAACAACAAATTTTTTCTAAACAAAATACATTCTAATTATGTATATATAGATTTACACAATCGACAATAAAATCGATTAACAAACAAGAATTACCGTTACTAACCTTAAAATTCATAAGAATTATCTAATTTATTATCTAACTAACTAATTAATTACCCAATAATACGTAACTATAAAACCCTATATCAATGCTATAGTCAATAATATTTATACTAATTATCTATATACAAAAAATACAAAATTATGATATGATAATTTACCACTTCTACAGGAACAATAAGAAGGGGCACCGGTGGCACCCCCATTCACTTTTGTATAAAAAAAATTTAAATCGCTATTAAATTCTTATAACAATAATACACTTAAATTTAAATAACCCCATAACAAGTAATATATCACACCACACACATTGAATACCAAAAACGATTATTAATCGCGTAAAATAAATATATCATAACCAAAATAACGACTCAAAAAAAATATAACTATAAAAAAAAAACACTATCATTGACACTTAAAAAACTAATAAGCCAAGTACTAAAAAGAATAAATAAATAAATAAATAAAAAATATTAACCGTTATACTAGATAAATTCTCCAAGATGCTTTAAACTTATTTAAGCTAACCCCAAAACAAACTTATAACAACCCTGAACAAAAGAACAATAAAATCAGGAACATGAAAGGGGCGCCCCAAAAAACACTTGTAATTTAAAAAAATTATATAAAAAGATCAATTATATAAAAATTTATTAACTGGTTTATCTAATTAATAATTACATTATACAGTGAAATAGTAATAGTTTGGATTCTAGCAAAATTAACCATTTGAAATTTTCTAAAAATAAATTTTTGCCTGATTTAAACTTTTCAAAAATCTTGATTTTTATTATTAAGAGTTAAATTTATTAAAAATTTTGATGTATAACTACTGTATAAGCTTTTATTATAATCCTAGTTTTTGTTTACATTCTTGCCCAATTTTTATACACATCACACTGACATATGGATATAAAATCTTTCTAATCGACTTTTTTTTTTCTAAATTTTTTTTCAAATCTTGATATAAAATATTAGTTTGTAAAATCGATGAGGATTAGATCTATTAAGAATCAATTGCCGATTGGGTAATTAGGATAGAAAAAGTCTAATGGGGACTAAGTTCGAAGAATCGAAGGAGGTCGATAAGCTAAAACATATTGGAGGAAATTGGTGGAATTTTTCAAGCTCAAGTAATAATTTGGTCATTAGATAAATACTAATGCTAGAAGCATTATCTGTTATCAAAAGTCTTTTGAGAAGGCGTCGGGTAAATAATCATAAACATTAGTCAAATAAAAATAGTGGCACTACCGAAGAAAGTAATTGGCAGACTTTTTCTGTCTTATAAGGATTGGGAATGGTTAGGGTTCCGTTGTTTGGTCCGGGTTTGGTTTGGGTTCGGACGCAAACCCAAATCAAATTTGAAACTCTGATCCCAAATCAAACATGAACCCACAATACTCAAACCCGGATCAAGCTTAAGCATGACTTAAAGTTTGGTTTGGGGTTGGTTTTGGTTTGGCTTGAAGTTTGCAAACATGTTTGGGTTTGATGTGATGCTATACATAGTTTTCAAATCGCGATTTGATTGGTTAGATATTTTGATTGGTTGGATGATTTTCACTTATTTTTTTTGTTACATGTACTATCGTAAGTACATTTATACATGAGAATAAAAGGCGAAATAAAATTATAGTGAGAATAAAATAAAAATAAAATAAAAATAAAATAAAAAAAATCTGACTACGCGCCTAGGAAAATTACAAATGCCATAACAAACAATAATAAAGACATGATTTTTAGACATAAAAATCGAAGACCCAATGCAAATTTGCGCATCTATTCTCTGATTTTAACAAATCTCATTTTCTTTTTAGGATTTTTTATTGAATTGATTAAAATTATAATCAAGATCGTCGAAGATGAAAGTGAAAAAATTTGCTAATTATTCGAGTCGACATTAATTCAGCAGACCGAAAAGATGCTAAGCAGAGGCAATATGCCTTCGTAAAACCAGCAGCAGAAATAGTGTCAACTTACACGACCAAGCCAGGCATAATTAGGTTCAGTTGGGCATGATTTAAATAACCTCCCATATACAGTAATCGTTAACCCAATAACGATAAAGGTTGCTATGAAAATAAAGTCGAATTCAAGAGAGGTGCGATCCTGATCCTGCAGCCTGCTTGCATTATGCAGGTAGAAAGCCACCGGCCAACATTAGTTTTAATTACGTGTAAACCATAACTAACATAAATTGCATTCGTAAATAAAATCAATTCCGGTATGTCAAACCGGATTATTCCAATTTTTAAACATGTGCAATGCTCTTACTTCTAAATACATAGTGATCTTACTGTAATATCTACTGTATTACAAATGCAAGTAGGATACCATACAATTTTGAGTTTAGTTAAGACTAAATTTATAATCAATATTTTGTATATAGAACTTCAGGAAATCAAGTTATGGGAATCATAAATCAACACGAATAAGAAATTAATAATAGATACATAGATTATTCAAATACTTTGATTAATAAATAATTTTGACTGAATTGACTTGAATAAAAGATAGTTTATCGACCAAATCAGCACGGACAATAAATAAAACTAATAAAAAATGCATACATTATTTTCGAAAACTTTGATTAACCAAAATAAATAACTTAATGCAAAAATATTTTTTATCATGTTTTAGACTATATTTACAGACTAATTTAATACAAATATAAAGAAATGGCTAATTTTAAATACACCTACTATTATGAAAAAGAAACCAAATTAAGAAATAAATTCCCAGTTATATGAGGGCCCTCATATAGCTGGAGATCTACCGGCTTGTGGAAAATAAGAGTATTGTTCTTAATTTTGTATGATATTATGACGGCAAATCAGATAATTTGTAGTAGTGTTTTTTTTTTTGATCTACAAATTTCACTTATGCGTCTTCATACATGATAAAAACACTAAATGCCCCAAATTTATGACTTTATATGCATTGAAGAATAATCAAATTTTCTCCTATAGTCATGAGAGTCAAAATTTTAATGTTAAAATAAATCGGATAAATTGAAATAAATTAAGAATATAAGTTGTACTATATTTTTACATGAGAGGATGATTGTAAAAATGCGCAGGATACCCTAAGAAAAAAGCTTATCTTACTACCATTACTGAATTCATCCGCTTAACTAATGCATAGTATTTAATTAAAGTCTCAGATAGCTAAGCAAGGATATGCTAAAAGCAATCCAAGCTCATAGCCATTAAACCAAATCAAGCATGAGATGATCTAACAACCATTGGGTGAGTACATGAAGTATTGTTTAATTAACTACCTAATTTTGAAGCATTATGGAATTAACTGATCTAACATGCTACAAGCAACAACATCACTTATTATGTAAAATCCTACCATTTTGTGTTAAACTTCATATCTAAGCCTGCACAGTATGAGACCACGGGCTAATACTTCACACCGTGATTTAAACTGATGATGCGATATCCGGCGCAATTATATTACTATTTCTGGGAGTATATTCCGTCTCAGTTTATACATCAATTGCTTGTTGCATCCAAATAGTATGTAATATATTTTAAGTTATTATTGAATTTTAATATTTTTCTCTTTGTGGTCTAATAATCAAAAACAGCAATTTTTTTAGAGTGGGTAAATAAAAATGAGTCAAATGATTAAAAACAATGTATTTGTTACAGAGCCTAATCATATAAATGAATACCATTAATTAATTTATTATTATTATAAATTCTCAAACTCTATAAAGTATAAAACACTTAGAACATACAGTTTGGTACACTGGTGATCATAAATAATGCATCAAAAAAAAAAAATTCATTAGATCGAATTTTCTTGTGTGTATCCTTTTACTTTTTTTTTTTTTTTTTGTAAATACTATCCCTTTTATCAATATAAATTTTTTAAAAAATTAATTAATTAAATTTTTTAGATACACGAGCTTTATTTGAATTCACGTGTTGTATCTCTTTTGCTCATTTTTACAGCAGCATGAATATAAAATACAAAAAATTTTTTTGTATACTAAAAAAACAATTTTTTTTTCTATTTAATTCTCCCACATGTTTACCATCTAGTATAGCAACCTGAGCCCTAATAATGTTATGAACTCATTCTGGCATTGAATGAATCAAGTTTATGCAGATCTCAAGATCAAACTGCTCCCACACCATCTGAATTTTCTCTCAGAGGTCTCTTTTACTCAAAGTATTGCTGGGGAGGGGAGCTTTTTCAAGCAACAGTCAACTTTGGCCCACAGATGTTCAATCAGATTTAGATCGGGGATGCAGGAGATCACTTGAAGATTCTAATCCTATTCTTTCTAAACCAACGTTTGGTTAAGGTTGCAGTATGGCAAGAGGCACTATTTTGCTGAAAAATTATATCCCATGCCCTAAATTCGTGATTTCTCATGGTTTCCAGAAGGTTATCTCAAAGTATCAGCCAGTACAACTCACCATCCATCGTACTGTTGATTTTACAAACCCTCTAATGCCATGGGACATAAAGCAACCCCAATCATAATAGAGCCACCCATGCTTCATTTTGGTTGTATGTGGAAGCAGTTTAATGATTTTTCAGAACACTTCTAGTAATACTGCTTCTTATCTAAGCCAAAAATTTGAAACTATGATTCATTTGACCAAATTATCTTTAACTATTCTTCAATGAACCAGTCTTCATGTTTCTTGCAAAAATCGAGTCATGCTTTTTGGTAACCAGCACTTAGAAATAGTTTTTTCACTTAATTCCCAAAATCAAACCATGCTCCCAGAGTATATGACAAATAGTAGAAGCTGAAACTTTGAGGTTTTCTTTTCTTTCAGATGGGAGATTACCTGTACAGCCATAGAGCAGAGTCAAGAGGTAATGAGGTTCACAATCTTTATTTGGGCTGATTTACCCAATGAAGGTAGGCAACCAACCCTTCCTAAATTTTGAAGAATGTAGTTCTCAAGCCACCTTTTCTTGATACAGTAGATGGTGGAAGAGGCAATATAGTGAGTCCAGCCAATAGCCCTCATTGTGTATCCTTTTTGTAGCAAGAGCAAAATTTGTACTCTTTGTTCAGAAGTGGTATGGTTCTTTTTTTGGGTTTTCAATTATCAATTAATTCCAATATTGCACAAGATGCAAAATCAGACAAAGAAAATCTATGTATCATATAGTACACATAAGCCATCTGATCTTTGGTAAAAATAAGCAAAAATAATGCATCATGTGTTTTATAACACACACATGATTATTTTCAGATTTGGCTTATAGATGTTTAATAAAATTCTACAAGTAAATGGTGATGCTATTCACGAATAAAACAACAAAAAAACAAAAAGATACACATGGAATTGCGTGAGAAAATTTGATTTAACAAATTATTTTTTTGATGCATTATTTATGATCGCCAGTGTATAGAATTTTGATAATAAACCAGATTTTGTTTATTTTTATTTGCTTATATTTTGTAATTTTAATACCTCTTATATTCAGTCATTATCACTTTTCTTTGTTTTGTTAATCAGTGTCATATTTTGCCTTTAAATTTTTTTTTTTAGCAAAGTTCTAAATTAGATTTGGACTTTATTACTACAAAACCTCTATTTAGCACCTAATCACTATAGACATAAGTAATTTTATCATTTCTTGAAATACTTTGAAGACTGTTAAGAGTGGATTTAGATGTTAATTTTCAAAAAAAAAAAAGAAGAGGATTTAACTCAATTTTGATTGATAATTAAGCACAATATCACATATTTACAATATTTATTTTGATGCAAAGTTAAATTGACTTTATTATAAAAATTTGTTCAGTTAAGTTGTTTAGCATAATGGTATTTCTCTTTCACTTTTAGATTTTAAATTTATAGTTTTATAAAATTTAAGATTTCAAAGGAGGCTTTATGATAGAAGTTCAAAAAAGAAGAAAAAAAACCAAAAAATAAAAAAGATTTTAAAAGCTTCTAAGCACTCAAGAATCAAACCACAAAAATACAGATTATAAGATAATCCAAATTTAGAAATTAATGAATATTTAAATTCATAATATAATGACGATTAGATAGAGAAATTTTAGATATTAAGAGAAAATTGTTATATCGTACCTTCTTAAGTACATATTGAATAAATACATTTTTATATAATTTAATTTAAATATAAATTTGAGATTTTGTTTGAGATTTCTACTGCACTAAGAGTTGATTATATATATTCTGAAAATTTTTGTGTATCAAATATTTTGCTAGTATATATGTCTTGTGAATGAATATGTTCAATTGATTCTGGCTTAACTTTAATGGCTTCTAAAAATTCTTT